TATATATATATATATATGAATGGACACAGATTTGGCTCATGATATTGCCAAAACTTATCCAATGTTAATCGGTGAAAAAGATGGAAATGGGATGACAGGTCTTCAACTTCTTGCCTGCAAGCCGTCAGCATTCAATCATGGATTTGAAGATAATTTCTTCAAGCGGTTCATACGCAAGTGTATGATACTAAGGCCCCTTTATTACGACAAGACAAGACAAAACAAACTCCCTTGTATTGTGTGTGACATGCGCGCATTTATGAGCCAAAATTGCAATTTTTTGTCTCATTTAAAAAGGTGGGACAAGGATTCACTATCATCCTAATCATTGAAAGTCCTAGAAAGCTTATATATAGTCTTGTCCCATATAAAAAGTACAACTTAACATACTCTTGTCTGCAACTTGCAAGTCTGCTAACATAACAACACTCTTAACTTCTGGACTTTTGTTTCTCAGTCATTGATTTGAATCATAAAGAACAAACCAGTAGAGTGCCTTTCCTGAAAGAACTTCAGAAACAAATTCTCAAGAGTAAATCAGCAAAGACACTTGCAACCCTTTTAATTGAAAGTGATGCCTCATGGGAAGCAACAGCACCCATGTCAAATCAGAACAGAATTAAACTCATCCAAGGGATAATGTCTTCAAGATTAAGTCTTGTTATTATTGTTAATGATCCTACTCGTGACTCCCCATTGTTTTTAGCTACAAAATCAGGTTGTACAGAGATTGTAAGGGAAATACTGCAAGTGTACCCTCAGGCGGTCGAGCATATTGATGAGAATGGGCGTGACATTTTGCATGTGGCAGTTCAATATCGAAGAATGGAAATCTATAAAGCTGTGATCAATATGAAGTATCCTTTGATGAGGCTAAGAGGGGAGATTGACAAACTAGGCAACTCAATACTGCACATGGTAGGCCAAAAAGTTGAAGATCAGAAAGCTGAGGTGGATATGCGAAGCCCTGCTCTTGTACTACGAGATGATTTGCTTCTATTCGAGGTAAATGACAGATTATCCTTTAGATTGGACTGGACAAATTTTCTATGACTATTTTTTATAATCAAGATGAGTGGTCATTCTTATCTTTTGTACAGACAAGAGATAGAGAGTTATCTTGCTCACTTTGTATCCCATTGATATCAGTTTAGATACCAGTCCAGTCGAATCCATGCCAAATGCACTACCATACTAACCCCTTCTGAAGTCTTTTCTTCTATTCTATCCAGCGTGTGAAAAACATATGTACCACCGAAGCAATTTCTCAGGTAAACAATGATGGTGTGACAGCTGAACAACTATTCATCAAGAACAATGCACAACTTCACATCGATGCCAAAGAATGGATGAAGAGCACTGCTGGGAACTGCTCCGGGTTTGCTGTGCTCATTGCCACTGTTGCCTTTGCTTCATCTTTCACTCCACCTGGAGGTTCAGAGCCAGATACAGGACGTCCAATTATGGAGGGCAACTATTTTTTTATAGTCTTTTCGCTAGCCAATGGACTTTCCCTCACATTTTCTTTGACATCAATTATCGTATTTCTTTCCATCCTTACATCTTCCTTCCGGTTAAAGGAGTTCCAGAACTCTCTTCATAATAAACTACTTTTAGGCCTCACACTGTTGATACTCTCTGTGTCAATGATGATGATATCATTCGCAGCCACGATTCTCCTAGGCAGTGGGAAGCAAGATTGGACAAACATTATCTTGTACGTAGTTACGTTTTTCCCAGTCATTGTGTTTGTGCTCTCATACGTACGTCTCTACAAGTTGCTCATTAAAGTGTTTGAGGAAAGTCTAAAGAAGGTTATAGATTCAATATTGCCTGCCCGTGATATGGAATTGCCCCAGCCTTCTCAAGCTCCAACTACTATTTTCACCAAAGCAACCACGAGTTCTTTTGTTTGATCTTTTGGATGTTCTTCTTTAAGTAAGTCTTGAATATATGACATTAAACTTGTACCGTGTTCATTTTTGTTTTATTCAGATAATTTGTTTCTGGATTTTTGTCTTGATAGATGTTGATTAGAAACAAATCACTACAAGAATCGACCCCTATGGCGATGACTTCTTTTAACCCTATGTCGACGAAAAGTCATCAGGACTGACCCTAAGCATCAATGATTTAAAAACCAAAACATGAACCAGTCTACTACTGGCCAGTTTCCGACCGCCGGTTTAACCCGGCTTCCATAATTTTTATATATTTTATAATTTCCTACACATATACATTTATAAAAGCAAGTATTTTCTTACATCTGACAATGGTATGTGTGAGCCTTAAACTTGTGTACACTCCGGTTAACCTAATCGATCGATTAGTTCAATTTTTTTTTTTTTGGAAATAGATTGTTTTTAACGGGTTAAGTGAAATCCAAATATCAAGTCCGATAAATCTGTTCAAACAGTTTTTACCGGCTCTATGAGGTTAACCTAATCGATCGAGTGGTTTTTGAGCCGCTCTCATCCCTGGTTTTGGTTTCAGGCTGCTTCAAAAACATTGCTAAGCATTGAGTTTGATGTGCCTAATAGAATATGTGTTTAAAAAATAATTGATCATTAATCATTTGGAAATTTTATAAAGTTACAAAATGGAATCTTTAACCTTCTCTATACATAAATATGGAAACTATCCACTAAAATAAGTAACAAAACCAAAAGGTCTTTGGCCTAGCCATATCAAAAGTTGATGGATAAGTGCTCCTCAACCAAAGAGTTGAGGATTCAAATATCTTGTGAACAAAAGGTATAGATTTAAGAGTAGGGCAATGAATCTGTGTAAACTGTTCTAAAAAAAGATACATATATATGTAAATATCTAATGCCTATCATATTTTCTTAAGCTAGTCTCTATTGTAAAAATGGTATACTCAAACATTAGGTATTTAGGTCGAAGAGGATCATAGAATCTCCTCAACAATTTTTCTATCTTTGTTATTCACGTTTAACTTTAGTTGATTCATAAAGGACCCTATAAAAAGACCTAGCAGAAGCGATCATGGACAAAAGAGGCCAAAAGAAATTAACGTTCAAACGACCATAATTTTTTATCAATCAGGAGTTTGGAGGCCCATTTTTACATCATCGGAAAGCTCCTAACATCTTCGGAAACCCCCTCGGTCGATCCCCAAGTGAAATTTCACTGTTTAGTTCTCTAAATTTCAATTTTCCAAAATGTTCGCATATTTCCCTATTTTCTTTTGTTAGTGTTGATTGTAAAATCACGTGATTGATATGATTGCCTAAAATCACATGATTGATTAATATTTTAATTTCATTAATTTTAAATCATTTTATTTTTTGAAAATTTGGAGGGTTGTTCTAAGTGGAAAGGAAAATGAAACATTGGTTCTTTGTCGGATATTTAAATGCTCCCCAAGACCGTGTGAATGAACCACGACAAACTTTTATAGAAGTCAAACCCAACTTAGTCAACAAAGTCAACAGAAAGGGGTTAAAAATAAAAGTCAACAATGGTTATCAACAACCTTCTTAGTTGTTAAGTTTTCTTAGTCATGATTCTTAACCATTATGTTTTACTTAGCTATTAAGAATACTTCTTTATTAAGTTTTATTTAACCTTTAAGTTTACTTATATGTAAAGTATTTCCTTAGTTTTGGCTCCTATATAAGGACCTATGTTTGTAAGAAAAATGTAAGAGAGATGTATGAGAAAAATGAAGTGATATAAAAATAGAGCATTAGCTCTCGTTTAAAATAGTTGAGTTGTTCTTGTGTGAGTAATTTTAGAGTACCACCTTTGTTTCTTTATAACCACCAATAAGTGGTATCATAGTAGAGGTTCTGTTTGACGACGAGACGATGGGGAATATGATTCAACCTCAAATTCCAAAAGTGACGACAACAAATTACGGGAACTGGAGTATTCAGTTCTCAAGATATTTGTGATATAGTTGAAGACGAGTATATGGAGCCGACCGATGCGGTTGCTGAAGCAACTTTAAAAAATGCTCAAAAGACAATGTTAAAGGAGTCCCGGAAAAGAGATAAGAAAGCTCTATTTTTTATTTTCTAAGGTGTTGATGAGTTAACCTTTGATAAAATCTCATACGCAAAGACATCAAAGATAGCTTGGGAGGTTCTGGAGAAATCGCTCCAAGGAGCCGAAAAGGCGAAAAAGGTATGACTCCAATCACTCTGTGCTAAATTTGAAATGTTGAAGATGAAAACTTCAGAAAGCGTAAATGATTATGTTACTCACTTGAAAACGGTGGCGAGCGAGATGAAAAGAAATGGTGAAGCTCTTGATGAAGTAAGGGTAATGGAAAAATTACTTCGTTCATCAATTACAAATTTTGATTATGTAGTCACAATTATTAAAGAATCAAAAGATTCGTCCTCAATTTATATGGATGAGCTCATCGGTAGTGTTCAAGCCCATGAATAGATAATGAAACAAAATGATGATATTGGTAAATTTGAGCAAGCTTTATAAAGCAAGATGTCAATTAATGAAAACCAAGCTAGTAGTAGCTATATACGAGGCAGAGAAAATCATGGTGGTTATAGAGGTGGCTACATAGGTGGACCTAATAGACGAGGTTGAGGTAGATATCAATTCTCTGGTCGTAGTCGAGGATTTCAAAGCATAGGAAGAGGAAGAGGTAGGTTTCAACAACAAAGTGACAAATCTCAGGTTCAATGCTATAACTGCAATAACTACAGTCATTTTAGTTATGAATGCAAATATCCAAAAGTGGAAGAAAAAAGTCACTTTATAACAACAATGAAGATAAAGATAAAGATGTTTCTCACATGCAAAGGAGATGAAGAAGGCAAGCAAAATATTTGGTATTTTGATAATGGTGCAAGTAACCACATGTGTGGTTATAAGGATCTATTTGTGAAGTTGGACGAGACAGTAAATGGAGACGTTAGCTTTGGTGATTTATCAATGATTCTTGTCAAAGGCAAAGGTACAATTATGATTCTTTCAAATGATGGTGATAAGAAGTATATACATGATGTTTATTATGTACATGCTTTGAAAACAAATGTAACATCTCAAAAACCATGGTAAAAATTTTGAATTTTTCAAAGCCATTTCATAAAAAACATAAGTCAACCATCATTGTTTCCAAAACATAATAATAAAAATAAGAGTATCAAATAATATTTCTCAACATAACAATCCATAAGATGATGTGTACGATCAAGCATTCGTTTTCCCCCGATCCTCTAAAGTACCTGAAACATTTAAATCCACAATTGTAAGCCAAAGCTTAGTGAGTTCCCCCAAAATACCCCACACAACAATACACATACAATGCATGCATACATGAGCCTACAGTCTGCCTGGACCGCCTTGCAAGACCTACAAGATGTCTGGACCGCTTTACCGAGTCTACAGTCTACTCTACTGGCCAGCCTCGCAAGACCTATAATAGTTGGATCGCTCCCTTAGGCCTACAGTCTGGACCACCTCGCAAGGCCTACAGTACAGTGGACCACCCGGGTATCTTGGCCTACAGCACAAAGCATGACCGCCTTAACCCAACCAACCACAATATGTCAACATATGCACATAAACAAACATACAGACAATAGCCAGCAATACAAGTAATCATAACAAATCTACCAATCAAACAGATCACTACAACATACCATCATCCTACACACAAGGATACATACTGTAATACAAAGTATAGTGAGAAAACTCACTTCACAGTCTAGCAGATAACAATACAAGTCTCGCAAATCCAAAAATTGGTACTACAGGTCACCAATATAACAATCAGGGACCAATTCATAAACTACAACCCAGAACCCTCAAATTGACCTAAAGTCAAACTTGGTCTGCAGCAATTAGTAAAAACAGGTCAGTGTTCGGCGGTCAAACCACCACAAACCACTATGTATTAAACACCAATTATGTATAATTTTATGTGTATAATGTATATTGAATATATTATACTCATAATTATTTCAGAACGTCTCAAACTACTCACCAACCCGTCTATCATTATGGATCGAGTCAAAAATCACAAAAAATAATTCTATTTGTGAGGTTGAAAATGAATTTTTGCATCAAGTGTACTTGTAACCAATTTATGATCAAATTGGATTGATTATACTCTCGAGACTTTGTGGATATAAAAAACGTCAAAAACGGAGGTCGTATGTAGAAGTTACATCCATTTTAAGAAATTAAATCAGTAAAATACTGATTTTCTTAATAAACGAAAACTGAATTGATCCGTTGAGGTACTTGCACACCCCATATGGAAATTCTGAGAACGTTTTTAGACTCAGACATAGATCAAATATTTGATTTCATAATCACAATATTTTTAACCCGTAAATTTAACAAAGTCGCGAAAAGTGTCAAATAGGATCCAATTAATCACGAAACTTTAAACGGATGTTCCCGGAGTTCAACATATCATATATGTTAAGTATTTCCTTATGTTTGGCTCCTATATAAATACCTAATGTTTGTAAGAAAAATATAAGAGAGATGTATGAGAAAAGTGAAGTAAGTGATATAAAGATAGAGCGGTAACTCTCGTTTAAAATAGTTGAGTTGTTCTTGTGTGAGTAATTTTATTCTTCCGTCTTTGTTTCATTATAACCACTAACATTATCATGATTGAAATATTCTATTTAAAGTGGTAGACATCTAAATGCAAGAAACCACAAACTCACTAGCTTACCCAAGTATTTGTGAACACCGGTACGAGTTAGGGCGCCAAATTTGGAGAAGGAGGAGAAGGGTTAGGCCACCACCATCGTCATTCCTTCGCCTCTCACCATCACGTACTCTTCCACCACATTCCACCATCTCTATTGATCGGCTTTATCCCCTTCCATCACCACCATTGATCGGACACTCATTTGCCTCTCACCATCTTGTCGTCTTCCACCCCTTACATCATGTTACATAACACTTATTGAAAATTCACCTCCCATCACCACCATTGGCGATTCACTTTGTTTTATGCACACTCTGTAACTGTAACTACTCTAACTACTTGTGGTATTTATGGGAGGGATGTCGGAGATGATGGGGGAGGAGATACAGGGATGAGGACTCGTAATGGAGAGAGTGAGATGGAGGAGTGTCTAGAAAGTTAGGGTTTTTTCTTGTTATTTGGTCATTGAAGAATATAATGAAATAAATATGTAAATTACATAAATGGTTCTTATGTTATACTGTATTTTAGAGATTTGGTCCAAGAGTAATAAGTTTTTATCATTTCAAAAAAATAACAAGTCGAAATTTAGATAACGATTGAGGGACAAATTAATCACAACCACTTCCCCAGTAAGCAAAATATAAAGTTGGACTAAATTTGTGTGTTTTTAAAAACTAAAGGATTATTTCTACAATTTTATCTGAGAAATATTTTATAACGGATTAATCCCGTTCTTGATAAAAACCAACTTCTATAAAGTATAAACCCACATTTAGACAGTTGAACATAAACTCCAAAATTCATTTAATAATCACATTCTTTTTCCAAACTAAAACGAGGTTCAATCAAACATATAACGGTGCCATAAATCCAACATTGCAATCCCCAACTGAATACGAATCATCATGTATTAAGGAATTTCTGTTGTTCAAGTGCTTGTGATATTTGTTCTTTGTCCCATTTCAATCTATTCATTGATCAGTTACAGATGACTTCAAGGGATGTTGTTGAAGAAGAAAACCAAGGTATACCCTTATTCAAGACTAGCTTTTGATTGAATCTCGTATGCACTGTTTCTTGAGGTTGTTCTTAGGTTGTTCTTAGGTTCAGTAGATTTACTGGTTTCGTAATTGTTTCTCTGTTAATGCTTTTTTTTTCTGGTTAAATTGCGTATAATCAGTATATGATTTCAGGGTTTTTGATCCGTTTTCTTGGATGATTTTCTGTTGATGTGTGAAATTTGATGTTCTTTCTCATTCTAAACAATAATTTAAATCCTTGATTGTTGTTGGGCTTTCTTAATTGGAAAGTTTGAATGTTAATTTTGTCATCAGATGTAAAGGAGAAGAAGATACCGACTGAAATTGGCAATCTCACTGCAATCACTCGCCCTGTTACAAGAAGTTTTCGTGCACAATTGATCACCAATGCAATACCTGAAAACCAAAAGGTGAAAGAAAATTGATCACCAATGCAATACCTGAAAACCAAAAGGTGAAAGAAAAAAAGTTTTCAAATTTATCAGTTAATCTTACAACTTAAATATTACTATATTTCTTGCAACTTTTTTATGTTTTCTAACTTATGTAGAATTTATTAGTTTTTTTTAACAAAACTGAATTAATTGACCCACATCTTTTTATTGATGGTGTTTTACAGAAACCAATGGCAGTGAATGTAAATAAGTTAAAAGCTACAATAATCAAGACAAAACCACCACCGGTGCCACAAAATGCAACCGTGATCGAGATCAGTCCAGACACCAAAGAATTGAAGAAACCTAAGTCTTGGTCTTCACAAAACAAGTCGCCTCAATCGTCACTCACTTCAACACTGACTGCCCGGAGCAAGGCTGCTCGTTGCCCGAAACAACCAAATGTTGTCGATATTGATGCTCAAGATGTTGATAATGAACTGGCTGCAGTTGAGTATGTTGATGACATATACAAATTCTACAAACTTGTTGAGGTACATATATAGATAGATACAAAACTCTAAATGCAACATGTATATGTATATATATACAATTTCATTGAATGACTTGATGTGTTTATGATGCATAATGAAACCATGGTTAATGACTACATGCATACACAACCTAAGATGACCGAAAAGAAAAGGGCGAGTCTGCCCGACTGGCTGATAGAGGCTCATGATGCATTCGATCTCATGAATGAGACGTTGTACCTTACAATCAACATTGCTGACAGATTTTTGGCATCTAAAACTGTCGCAAACAGAGAATTAAGGTGTGTAGGAGTTGTTACAATGCATATTGCATCAAAATATGTAGAAATGCGGACATATCCAATGGTGTATGATTTTGTGGAAATCTTGAATAATCAGTATGCGAAACAAGATGTTTTGGTGATGGAGAAACGGATTTTGAGTCAATTGGAATGGAGTTTAACAGTTCCCACGCCGTATGTATTTCTCACGAGGTTAATCAAAGCCGCCGCAGCCATAACCCCACTTGAGATTGAAGTACGTATTTATTTCGTTATTTTTCGTTTCGGTATAAAATTAAAAAAAATGATATGGGGTAAAATAGTTATTTTACAATAACTTAACGCCTCATATCTAACGGTGTTAGCCATAGGTACCAAACGCCCAAAAAACTGAAACCACGAGGATTGTCCATGTAAGAAAGTTCGATAGTTGGACTAAACTTGAAACTTCCACTATACCGCAGGGGCCATTTTGTAATTTGATTATGATGTTTGGAATATTTGGAATACAAACAAGGGAGCAGATGGTTTATTTTTATGCTGAATTGGGAATGATGAATTACCAGATCATCATAAGATTTTGTCCGTCTTTGGTCGTTACGTTAGCGGTTTATGTTGCACGCAACGCACGTAACAAAAACCCTGTTTCGCATAAAACACTTGAAATGCACACAGGGTTTACAGAAACACAACTGATGGAATGCGTGAAGATGTTGGTGGTGTCATCTAATAGTGAAGGATGGCGAGAAGCAGAAGGCAATATATAAAAAGCACTTGAGCGGGGCACGAGGCATGGTGGCGATACCCCTGCCGTCCAAAACTCTATTGTCGTAGCTTTATAAGGGATACTAGAATAGACTAGGTATATGGTAGGGGAGATGAGAGGAAAATGGTAGTGCATATTGAATGATAATTGTGAATATATATTGGATTTCAATCAATGAAATGTTCTATTACTTTTACCGGTATATTTTAGGAAATAGTCACTGCGAAACTTCAAAAGATAATCATATCTTTTAAATATTTTAAATATATTTATAATGAAAATATAAAATAAAATAATCTCACGCTAGTTGTACTTGAAAGATTTCTTCTAGCTTCGTTAAACAAATAATTTCACTCTTGTTTCATAAATATTCACTACTAGAAAAATTAAAAATACCTACGAAATTTTCCTACCGAAATATTCCGTCGGAAAATACCGACGAAATACCTACGGAATTCCGACGGAAAACGATGCCCTAAATTACTGACAATATTGTGACGGAATGCCTACAGAATACCGACGGAAGACAAATCCGTCGGTAAATACCGACGGAATAGCTACGGAACTGACAAAAAGACTAATTTGTTAAATTTCCGTCGCTAAATAGTAATTTATTAATTTTTTACTATTATTATTATTATTATTTATTTATTTATTTATTATTATTATTATTATTATTATTATTATTATTATTATTTCTGTTATTTTTATTATTATGTCATACGGATTACCTACGGATTTTTTTTATTTTCGACATTTCGGGCACCGAACGTCGTTTTTTTCGCTTCGTTTTTTTCGCATCTCTATTATAAATGATTATCTATAGTTTTCCCAACTTATACCTAATACCTAGATGTTTATAGTGGCGTACTCATTTTGATCGGTTACACATTTCACACTTTAAAATTACAATCACATTAACATATGTACATATATATACACACACATACACATTAACATATCCATTCTATATGCCCATAGAAACATAAATTCATATATACCCATAGAAACATACATTCACATATACATTCTTAGACACACATTCACACATACACATAGATTCATATACACACATATACATACATACACATAT